GATGACCTGGAACAAGCAAAAGCAGGAAGGGATAATGGGAGGACTTCTCAGTCTTCCTGAGAAAGTGGGGAAATTGGCTAGTTACCACACGTGCCTGTACACAAATGCACATGGACTGGGAAACAAGCAGGAAAAATTGAAAGTCCTTGTACAGTCACAGGAACTATGATGTGACTGGAATGTGATAGGCTAGCTGGTGGCAGCTGGGCCCAGAGGTTTTGAAAAGTTAAAAAATGATTGGTGGCGGGAATTTCCTTTTCCCCACTAATCAGGCCCTGGAAAAGGAGAAGGCTTACCCCCCTCACCCAGGGGTCAGGTAGGAAAACCGGACCTGAGAGTAGACTCACCTCTCATGTTGCCTGATTGGTCCCGCCAGCCACCTGCAGGGGGATAAAAGGGGCAGTGCTCCTAGCCCTGGCGAGGGGCAGGGAAGGCGGGAGAAAGGACAACAAGGGACAAAGGAGAGGAGTCCAGAAGGGCTGGCAGAAGCTGGCCAGCGGGGTGGATTGGTTGTCCCAGAAGAGCATGGGAGCCTGGATGCTGCAGGAGGTGGCTTGATGAAAGATTGGAGCTGTAGGCAGCAGCAGCTCAGAGCTCCTGCTGCTCAGCACACAGGTGCTACATGGTGGATCCCCTGCTAAGGACCCAAGCCACAGGTGGTGGCTCAGGAATCTGACCCCTGGCAGGGAGGCCAGGAGCTCGGTGTTCAAGCGGGGCACGGCAGGGGAGCCAAAGCCCCGAGCCTGCAGGCAGCAGCTCAGGTTTTCTGACCCCCAGCATGAGGCCGGGCAGCTTAACATGCAGACAGCATGTGGAGGATGCTGCAAGGTTGAGAGCCTGGACCTGCAGGCAGCAGCCCAGGCATTGATAGCTCAGTGGTAGAGTTCTTATCTGCCATGTGGTAGACCTGCGTTTGATCCCTGGCTAAGGCATGGAAAGGGTGATTTGGTGGAGAAAGGGACTTCACACTGGGTAGAAGGGTTTTCCTCACCTTTGCCCCCCTACCCTTCTGGGGTGCCTGCACCCTATATTTGGTGAAGCCTTGCACCCCAAACTTGTTGATTTGCCTCTGTATATGCGTACATTACCTTTACTGAATCTTCTCTTGGTCTCCTGCACCCATTGCCCTCCCCACATGTGTGTCATATCTTAACCTGGTTCTTTCCCTATTAAACCCATATATGGTTAAGTTCCAAATGGTATTGGCTCTACTCCATAGGGGATAGGAGGGAAGTGGCTACCCCTTCCACAGCATACTAGCACTCGTTAAATCACATCAATTGAAGAGAGGGTACCTTATCTGAGTACCACCCAGGTTACAGGAATAACAAAGACTTGGTGGGATAGCTCGCATGACTGCAGTAGTGTCATGGACGGCTACAAACTGTTCAGGAAGGGCAGGCAGGAGAAAAGAGAAGAAGGAGTTGTGCCAATGACACTAAACTTTGGGGCAAAGCATCCATACCTGAGGACAGGCGGGCGATCCAGGCTGACCT